AAAAAAAACAACCGGGAAAAGAAAAAGGAGAACTTTTTTTTTTTTTTTTTTTTTAAAAAATAAATTTCTTCTTCTTTTTCCTCTTATTTTTTTAACCTAAAAATGGGGTTAAGAAGGTTAACTTTTGGGGGGCGGAACTGATATTCTTCCAACATAGAAAAGGTGGGTTTTTATTAAAATGGTAAGCCAAATATCTTTATGTATTAACAGGCGAAAAGCTTTTTACAGCCTTCCTCTAACATTTTTCCAATAGCACTCAATAATAAATTTTCTCTACTTTCTCTTTTTTCAGATGATTTTGGGAACATACAAATGGGTGGATATATCAATCTTTTTTTGACACAATTCAAAAACGGGAGGGCACTGTTTTTTTAATACTCCCTATTTTGGCTATAACTACGTGCGTTTTTTTCCGACACACACATTAATTTTGGTTATTCATGTTATTATTGGTATGGATTTAAAATTAAAAACACCTTGACCCGTTGGATTTAGACCCTTGGCAGTGTCATTGGAATTTCTCGTTTTAATGATTTATGTACTTCGCGATTTAATTGACCCCTAAATATTTTAGTGGTTCGACTCGATTATATTTTGTTTATACTGGTACACGGTTTGTAATTTAAAATTACTTGAACCGCTTTGGTTAATTCATGTATTATGTTCAACCTGGCATTTACAAATCATGGTTATTCCATGTATTCCATCGTTGAATGCTTTAATGGTTGATAATAATACTTTTAGGGTGGTTGATGGATTTTAATATCTGTTTATACAGGTAACATCGTACATAATTAAATGCAATACCAGGCTCGTTTTCGAATTTTTTTTTTTTTTAAAAAAAACAGACAATTACTCTTGGCCAACCCAATGTTTTTCGGTAGCCAACTCAGGTAATCAACAAGTTTGCGCTACTAACTAATTCTTTAGTAACGCAAAAAAACATAACCCAACAACCGTTTTTTGCCAACCGCAACATTAATTAGTAGCCTACAAAAATTTGAGAATGAGAGCGAAATAAACTACTTCGGCCTACTAAATTTTTTTAGTCCATCCGGCAAAAAAGGCCGTATCATCTCTGAACGCACTAAAACTTTTGGGTGGCAAAACCAGTCAAAGAAATCGATATCTTAATCAGGTTTTTCTGGCTACCGCAACCAGTTTTAGTCGGCAAAAGTCACCACCACGCCTAAGGTAGAACTTTTACGTGACTACATGGTCTAGTAGTCAAACAGCTTTAATACAAAATGAAAAATAATATTTTTCGGCGACTAAATTTCTTTAGTCCTAAACTGTCGTAATGTTGTGACTAAAACTCCTATTCCCGGACAAAACACGTTTTAGTCGCTGAACAATTTAATTTAATTTTATTTGAACCACTTCCTTTGGCGACTAAATCATCTTTAGTCCGCCAAAATATACCTTCTCCGACTACTCAGCAGCCTTCGGTACGCCGACCCATGTTCACTTTTGGCGCTAATATTTTAGTCGGGCCAAAAGATAACCTTTGCCCGACTCAACCCAGCGAGTTTTAGTATGCCCAAAACCGTCCTCACTTTCAGCGACCAAAAATCAGGTTCTAGCGTCGCGGCCAATACTAATCGCCGACCAGGCTATAGGCGAGACCGACTTTGCGCCGACAAAAAAAATACTAGTCGCCTAATTCTTGTTTCCCGACGCCACCAACACAATGGGGCTTTTTGGCGACGCAACCTATTCCTTGGTCGCCCAAAAGTGGCATTTCCTCGCTAGTGGTCCAAGCCTTTCTGTTTTTAAACAATTTTCGTCTCCTCTAGATATTTAAATGCACTTCTAATTACATAACATTTGGTGAGACATCATGAGAAATAAGGCGTATGAGAGTCACTGAGTTAGCGCAATGGACAAGACGTGGTCAGGGATGTAAATCCATGCCCTACATCTAATTGACATATTTTTTCTCGTACTATACCTATACTATCATCTGGCAATCCTCTTACTTATTTCATAGGTGCACTCATTGCTCATGTGTCAATAATTATGGCCTCACTTCATCCACCCAACTTTTAACATATTTGCCTTTATGTATCCATATTGGTTAATATGTGATCAGAAATTTTTGCACTTTCAATATTGTTATCTCTATTGATATATTAGCTATACCATATACTCCGCTGTATTACCGATATCACTACCAGGAACAAAGAGGCTTAGGGGCCCGTTTTTTTTTAACGACGCACTTTTAAACCCGTCACCTCTTTTTTTAACATTTAACGACGCTTTTTAAAACGGTCGCTATTTGTTCAACAAAAACGGACATCCGTTTAACTAATAGGCGAGGCCGTTTGACAACGCCCTCCGAAATGCTGGTTGTGCCTCCACGCGCTTGCCGCTTGGCCCCTCCTCTTTTTTCAAAAGCCCTACATTTCTGACATGCTCAGACTCAAAGAGCCCCAACTTTTCGAGTCTCTCTCTCTCTCTCTCTCTCTCTAAATCTCAGAGCAATTTCGAAGCTCCACCACTGTCTCTCTTTCTCTCTCTAAATCTTTCTCTCAACTCTCTCTAAACCCTTATCAGAGCCATTCGGAGATTCATCTCAATGATTTCATCACAAAGATTCAGAGCGATTTCATCTCAGTGATTTCATCGCAGAGATTCAGAGATTCAGATCGGTCTCCACCATCTGCACCATCGTCTACATCATCATCTACACCATCGTCTCCTAAGGTGAGCTCCACCGTCTCTCTTTCTCTCTCTCTGAAGCTCTTCCTTCCCGTCTCTCTCTCCGTTTCAGTGATTGATGAGTTGTATATGCTCTAGTTAGCCCCAATCCAAGATTGATCCATATGAGGTTAGGGCCCGTGCTAAACAGTTTGTGCAAGATCAGCGCCGTCTGAAGGTTGGTCTTCCAATCTCAGTTTTATCGATTTTTCTCTCTCTCGATCTCTCAATCTCTCTCGATCTCTGTCTCTTCGCACAATCTCGTTATATGCGTACACATTATCTGTATTTTGTTTTGGATAATTTTTTTTTCTCTTAAAAATCTCTCTATACAAGTATATATATGAATTTATATATGTATTGATTGAATAATCATCCTTTTTTTTTCCCTGGCTCAGACGAAGGGTCATCTCTTTTTCATCAAACACAAGATGAAAAATCTGACAAAATAAATTTCTCACTTTGAACAACATATTGATTGGATTTCCAAGTTGATGTCGATTGTTATTGTGACTTGTATATATATAGTTGGTGGAATGTTGAAATTTGAGAACTTCGTTATTGTTTATGAACTACAAATAACTCATTTTGGATCAGTTGGAGTTGTAGGAGAAAAATGGGCAGATGAATGTGTGGGTTTAACTGTTTCTGATCTTGCGTTTGTCTCATTTTTTCTCCTCCAAATTATTTATTTCTAGTCCTCTCACTGCCACTAATACTATCTCATATTTGAGTTCATGGCCAGTAACCCCGTATATTCATTGTGCATGCCACATCTGTATCTGTTACTAACTGGACTATAATCTTCTGTAGGTCACTATGTTGTAATATGTGGCTATGATGCTATGACAGATGAGTTTGAGATTAGAGATCCAGCGAGCTCTGGGTACATCACTTGTTTTCCCTCTCCTTTAAACATCACTATCCACAAACATTCGAAAAAACAAAAAACAGAGCTGCCTCTTTTTTTTAGTTTTTTTTTTTTTTTTTTCTTTGGTCATAAGAAGATAATTAACACCTAAGCATGTTGATTAAGTAAAAGAGTTGTGGAATCCTTTAGTGAATGCTTCTTGATGCGTGTTAGTTAATTTGAGAAAATACAGTGAAAACGTTGGAAACTAGTCTTTTTCTTCCCCAGGATGTGTGTCTACACGTGCATGCACATTTAAATTTGAAATGTTTTGGGTCCATTTGAAGAAATCTAGTAAGTGTGAAGCTTTGTGCGAAATCTTATTAAAAGAAGCATCTTAACCAGAAGTTCACTATGTTTTGAAACTTTACCATGCCATAATGCACTGAGTTTTACAATTTGTGCAAATCTTTGCTTGAGCAATTGGTTTTGTTTATTGTAGTTTCCACTTTGGATGATTGTGCAGGAAACATGAGAAGGTCACATCAAAGCGCCTAGAAGAAGCTCGCAAATCCTTTGGAATTGATGAAGATCTTCTCTTGGTAAATTTAATACATCTTCATAAATTATTCACTCTAGAGGGTATATCTTAAAGGATGGGATCTTCCTTTTATGATCTCATATTGTTTGAAATGTCTTGCTGGCTATATTTTTGTTATCGTGCATTGAAGGAATGGGAGCTATATTCATTTGAAAAGTTATAAAGGATGATACTGCAGATTTTCACTTTCTAGAATTCAGTGTGGCTGCCTGGAAAAGGATAAAAGGCATGAAAAATGAAGTAGCTATTCTCATGTTAAATACTTTGACATTTGTCGTGCCATCTTGTTAAGCGCTACGGGCATGTTCTTTGATGAAAAATGATAGTTGGGTAGTGTGGACCCTGATAAGTACTAGGCACTAACTACTTGACTCCGAATTTGGAGTAAAGGTATTTTGGTATTTCCGCACTTGTGGCTTGTTGCCCTGTTTTAATAACCTATGTTAGGAGGTCATTGTGAGGAATTGTTACACCTAACCAAGATCAGTGAAAGATGAAACACAAATAAGAATAAAAACAAGAATCTAATCAAGCACACAAGAACACAAATTTACGTGGACTCCAAACTAGGGCCACGTCCACGGCTATTAGGTCTTTGCTCCTATTTTTCTTTTTTCTTCCCCTTCTTTTTATATGTATTTGTTTTCTTTGAAAGTACTTGAAGGAGGAGTGTCTTAAAAAACTAAAAAAAGCACCAACAAGAGAAGGTTGTTTTAGTGAAAATGAGAATTTGCAGCAGTAGCTGTACAAATGATTGCATTTCCCATTTTGGATTGTCCATGCAATTTCACTTAGTTATTTCTACAATATTTTAAGAGTTAGGAATTTGAAGGCATCTAAAAGCCCCAATGTCTTTATTTTGATTTTTGGTCATTTTGGTTGATCTTTTTAGTATTAGTATTGACAATTTAACAAATTCATTGAGTTTTCATTTATTGTATTACCACTATACCAATTATTTGTTGGTAGATCTTTTTAGTATTAGGAGAATCCATGCACAAATGGTGGTAGTTGGCTTTGTTCCCAATGAATATTTGGTAACCAAATTGTTGATATTGTATGCAAAGGCAGGGGATTTAGTAACTGCTGGCAGTCTGTTCAATGAGTTGTCGAGGACTACCTTAATTTCATGGAATGCAATAATTGCTGGTCATGTGCAAAATGGTCTTGTAGAAATGGGATTGAGTCTTTATTATAAGATGAGACAGAGTGGTTTAACACCAGATCAGTACACCTTTGCATCAGTCTTTAGAGCGTGTGCCACTTTAGCAACATTGCAGCAGGGCAAGCAAGCAAAATACTTCGTTGTTTGTCTTAGCATTATCAGCTGCTTATATGTATTGACCCTTTCTCATCTATAAAAATTATACTAATGCCCTATTCTAAAGGTGGTTTTTGAGTGTGAAAGTATTTTTCTTACATTTTCATAGTTAAACTAATTAAAATATACATGTTCATTCATATAGGGAATAAGTCGATATTCACCAATAATTAATAAAATTTGGATATAATTAACCCAACAGTTCGAATTTTGATGCATTTCCACTTGAAAGTTTGTTTCTCAAATTTGCAGCAGAAATAGTTTTTGGAAAAATATTTCAATTCTCTCCTCATTTCATGCTCTTTCATAATGCATCACAAGTTGCTTACAATTGAGAAAGAAATTTGATATTTTGAGAAACAATTGAGAAAAAAAAATTTCAATTATTTGGTAGCTATGAATTGAAAATTTGTTATATTGGTGAAATTCTGAACCCTGTGATCAATACTGGAAAATTGCTACAGATTGTTATTGGTTTATGAATTGAAAATTTGTTATATTGGTGAAATTCTGAACCCTGTGATCAATACTGGAAAATTGCTACAGATTGTTATTGGTTTATGAATTGAAAATTTGTTATATTGGTGAAATTCTGAACCCTGTGATCAATACTGGAAAATTGCTACAGATTGTTATTGGTTTATGAATATAAGCACTAGTATCTGCATATGATCTCCATAAATTAGCATCTTTTGTGGTTTGTTCTATTAGTTGTCCAATGATATTATCTAATTATAAATTATCTCTATGCTATTAGAATTGTGTTCATTTTAAACTACAGTTTTGTTGGAATGAGAAATTCTGGTAAAGATAGGGACATTTGAATCTTACAGATGTTGGGTGTTTTGGCTTGTCATTATCCCAATAATGCATCTAAAAATCCTTATCCTCTCTCTGTATTATTTGACCACAGAAAAATATAGTCACTCACACATTGATCTTGCAGCCTGTGGATTACGAGCCTCCATTCTTCAGAAGCTACTCAGTACAAGAAACTCATAATCCATGGATAAAAAATCCTCTGGAAATGGAGGTTGGGAATGTCAACAGCAAGCATTTAGTATTAGCTCTCAAGGTAAGGATAGAATATTGTAGGAACACTTGGTCCCTTGTTCAAAAACTTTAAGTTAATGTTTGCAACTGGGAATTTGTGCAGGTTAAGAGTGTGCTCGATCCTTGTGAGGATGAAAACGATGACATTCAAGATGATGATGTGAGCTTGGGGGCTGATTTTTTAGGTTTTGTCTTCTAGATTTTTTATTTTTTGTTCATTGAATGACTGATTATGCAGTTTTAATAAATCATAATGTTTTTCTGGTTGTTTTTTGGATGCACTTTCTCCTATTGATGGGTAAATTACATGCAGGTTTATGTGGTCTATTGTAGGCACTTATTAAACAAGAAAACAAACTGTCTATCCCACATTTCTTTTTTGGAAAAACTATTCAGACTTGTTAAACTAATTTACGTTCCATGTTGAGCTTCTCACTGGAAGGTTGGCAAAGTCAGCATTCTTCATTTAGGATTTATGAACCGAACAAGCCATGTTTTTTTTTTTGATCGGCAGCCGAACAAGCCATGTTGTATGGCAAACTTTCTATAATGTTTTGCCGAAGTAAGATTTTGGTGACCACTTAAACTCAATTTTTGCGGTCAGTCATTTGATCAATGTAGCAAAACCACTATATGGAGTTTTTAGTCTCTTGTTATTTTGGAAAAGTAAATCAAAGGAATAAGATGGTGATTTTGGGGTAAATCATTTAGAAACTTGCTATGAAATTTGGATGGACAAATGTACGACAGTCAATAGGCATGGAAGCATATTTTGTTCAATTGGTAACCAATCTCTCATTTCTCCTTGCATCGACATTGACTTTTGCTGCTTCATATTGTCTTGGATGTTATTATATAGATATAATTTTCCTTTTTAAATTGCTCTACTGTGGTGGCTGTGGTTCTGGAAGTTGCAGTGTTAACTATCTCTTGCTTGTAATTTTTAATTATAGGAGGCCTGAATGTGGAAGGGGAGGCAGACAACTGGGATTTTGGTGTAGGTATGTACTATGCAACAGGGAACTTTAATATTTTAGTGCGTATGATTGGCCATCATGCGTTGGGTTTGATCCCAGTAAAATTTTGAATAAGTTATTATGTTAGTAATTTAAGACCCATGAGAGGTTCATCACATGTTTGACTTGTGATCACATCCACACCGCCCCCACTTTGATGCAAGAGAAAATAACAATTATTTTGTTTACTTGCTAAATAAGGTGTTACAATCTTGCTATTGTTGTATGCATATCTTTTTATAAATCCTCAAGTTCATGGAAATGTTGCTTTCTATCTTACTCCCTCCATCCCAAATTGTTTGTCTATTTTTGGCATTTGTGCTCTTTAATCGGGTCAATAACTAATATTTAAAAAAAAAATTAAATTTTTTCTCCCACAAATTAAATATCTCAATTAGTTGTTGTAGGTAAAGTCTTCAAAATTGTTGAGAAGAGAATAAATTTAAAAATATAGATAAGTTTTTGGGATGTCTGGAATAGTGAAATAGACAAACAATTTGGACGGAAGGAACATAAAGTACAAGAAATCATGACTACATAGGAGATGTATACCCTTTGCACTCCTTACACGTAACAATACACAAATGAATTTAAATGATGTACTAATGCCTTTTTCATTTTGTTTCCAATGAGATCTATAAATTAGCATAGTAGTTTAATGAAAGGCAAGATTGTTAAGGGCTATTTCTGTTACAGAAAAATGACATCTATAAATGATGTTAAGCCTGTTATTGAGTATGAATGTTAGGTTTAATAATAAGACATGCGATAGTAAAGTGGCCTCTTTTCACTTACTATTTTTCTAGAGTTCAGTTTTTCTCCTATGGAACCAGCTAACTTTCTTTGCATGCTGAAGCTATTGCAGAAGAGAACTTTTCACATTAGAGCATCTCATGATTTGCTTGTATAGTGGGATATGTACTGAATAATTGTTGTGATAAGAGTTCACAATTGATCTGGTCTGCAAGCAGCATGGTCTACGATTTCTGAATAGCGTTTTTATTTTATTTTATTTTATTTTTTCTCAATAGCGTTTTTAATTTATTTTTTCTAACATCTGAAACATGCCTTTTAAGTAGTTTAAGATGCACAACCATGGCAAATCTCAATTTGATAAGGTTATACACATTCTAAAAGAAAATAATATGTTAAAGACCCTTCAGAAGTCTTGCCTAATTTGATGAGTGGGAGTTAGATCAAATGACCTCTAAATTTGTTTATGCTATGAGAGTATTATTTATTTAATTTTACATGATTCTCATGTGCCTGTATTGTCTTTAGGTATACCCTTTTCTTTATATGTATTTAGTGCTTCTTCGTATGTGATAAAATCTTCTTGTTAGTGCTTCTTCAAGTTTTAAGTA